CAACATTATCTTGAGCTAATATAACTGAATAAGCTAAATACATAGTTGATATATATTGTGACGACTTACAACATTATCTTGAGCTAATATAACTGAAACAACTGACCAAGTGACACATCCGTTCTAATCACGGTTTCTTACACTACAAACGTGATTTTTTATTTTTTGTTTCATCTCTTGTGCAACTAACTTTCAGTACTTTATCAGAGCACAACTTTCATTAGGAAGTGTATTGTTTTTCAAGGTATTGACTGTGAGTCCGGAGCTGGTACCGAGCATACAGAGAACATTGGAGACAGTGTTGTCAAGAAAGAAGAGACGATAGTCATTAACCTTTGTGAGGTGTCCTCAGAGTGTGGCACTTATCTTATCGTGAAAACTTTCCGGTACAAAAAAGAACGAGTTAATCACAGGTGAGCCATTCAGAGTAACTTCGAGATTAGATTCCTAAATACAAACGTTACTGTTAGACGCTAGGAAATACTTTTCATCCTTCAGAAGAAAAATTTCCAACCAAATAATACGATAGTATTTTTACCCCTGACTGTGTTCGTACGTCAAGAAATAGGAATGTCTGATTAATTTTAAATCAACAAAGACTCTACACGTTGAAAATTCTCTTGGGTCAAGTTACGCAATAAATATTGAAAAATTATAAATAGTTCTTACGAAAATATACATTCACACATTTTTCATTGCTTTCTTTGTTTATGTATATATGTCTATGTTTGTACCAATACTGATGTTTGTTTTATGCACGGATTGTGTATATGTTTGGTGTTCAGGGTATTTTCAGTAAAAAACCGATTAAAATAATTATTTTCTACTTTTTATGTAACGTTAGATGTCACGATTTCTTAGCTGTCAGTTTCGAATAGAATTCTGAACTAGCTGCTGTCAACCATCTATGTGAGCTGCATAACCTCACTCTTCGCCTATTGAATGTTCGTGCATCTAGCAGTCCCCCTGGATCAAACTACAATAGTAAAAGTCAATCATATTAAAAAAAAACAATATTATAGTTACCAGCGCTGAAACGAGATTATTAGTTAGTTGTTGCATTTCTTTTAGAATTTTTGATCAAAGTTGCCCCTATTTCGAAGTGATAGACTAGAGGGAAGGCAGCATCAACAGCACCCTCCGCCAATTCTTGGGACACTCTTACCTTACCGAATAGTGTGATTTGACCGCTACTTTTATAAGAACAATCATGGCCTTAGATTGTGGAACAACGAAACGCGACCCATAAATTCTAGAATTCACAGTCTCGGCACGCTAAATACTGGGCTACGCCCATTCCCAAAGAATAGAAAAAAATAAGGAAATTAAAACAGAAACTAAAACCAAACTGTTGCTTATACGCTTTATTTCAATTTAAAATGATGAATGAGAGAATTTGTGATCAGAAAGCACGTTCTTTTAACTGCACTTATTTTTAGACTAAAACGTCTAAAAGGTATTTGTTTACTGAAGAGACTGAAAAATACAAAACTTAGGCTCAACTCGCTCATTCCGGCTACAACAAGATAGTGCACATAGTAAAGCGTAGCTCACAAATTTAGATTTATTTCATAGGAGAATAAGATAATCAAGTTTGTTTTGTTTTGTTAATAAAAGTGTGAAAGGTGCATTAACAGTTTTTAAATAACTAGCAACATAAAGTACTATTATAATTCAGACGCCCCATGTGTTTGAGTGGTAAGTGTGAAGACTTATGATACTAAAATTCTGGGTTCGATTCCCACAGTAGACACAATGCAGCTAGCTCACTGCGCAAATTTGTGCTACAAAACAAAAACAACTATTTTTTTGTTAATATTATATGACTTTATTTAAACAAGTGTTTGTATAAATATGTAAATAAACCATGTAATTATTAACACATGTCTTATTGAAGTTTTATAAAATGCTATTTCATTTGTCAGACACACAATCCAAAGTTCATGCTGGTGGTGAATAATATACGACAGTAAAGCTACTTACAACTTTATTTACTCTTCCTTCTTGGAAGAATAATTACCACTATTAATAATAAAACACAGTATCAAAAACAACTGCATACAGAACACGTTTTTGCAGATTTTGTTTTTACTCTCCATAATCTACGTTTCTAAACAAACTTGGCATGTGGTTTACAGCACGTTGTTTTTTGATAAATCCAGCTGTATAATAAGTAAATATTATGAGTTTATGGAATGATTTTTTAAGACTGGTAGTAATAATAAACCTAGCAACCATATTTATTTTTTTTTGTTATGAATTATAAATTAGAAAGATTTATGACTGTATTTTGTGAACTCATCGCGTAGTGTTTGAGAACGAGTTTTTTATTTTATTTGATTTCAGTATTATTGTATTTAAACTGGAATGAATTTCAGAAATTAAAATGCTAAAATCGTATAATATTGCTGAAGAAAATTAAATATATTTTTCATAGTCACGCCCTTCCCCCTGGTAGCTTAGCTGTTGGATTATAACGCTAAAAATCGTGTTTCCATACTCGCGGTGAGAAAAGTAAAGACAGCCTTTTGTGTAACTTTGTGCTTAAGAACATTACAAAAATTGAGTAATATATACATACTATATACCTTCACCAAGGCCCGGCATGGCCAGGTGGTTAGGGCACTCGACTCGAAATTTGTGGGTCGCGGGTTCGAATCCCCGTCACACCAAACATGCTCGCCCTTTCAGCCGTGGGGGCGTTATAATGTGACGGTCAATGTAATACGAGAAAGGATTCTTAAAGATCATGATACAGAGTATTTTGGTGAAGGTTTGTTTGTTTGTTTGTTTTGAATTTCGCGCAAAGCTACACGAGGGCCATCTGCGCTAGCCGTCCCTAATTTAGCAGTGTAAGACTAGAGGGAAGGCAGCTAGTCATCACCACGTACCGGAAACTCTTGGGCTACTCTTTTACCAACGAATAGTAGGTTTCACATAAATTTATTCAGTTCAACAAGGGGCAAGTTCAGTTTAAAATGTTCGTACTTGTGTTTTATAAACCGAATACACTGTAAAAAAAAATCTCGTATCCTATCTTTTAGAAAAACATTGATCAATGAACGTCTCATCTTTTGATTTCAAAATACAATATTTCATGAAGAATGAATAAATGTTACTATTCTTAGCAACATTCATATGGATATAAATGTATTATTTTGTTTTTAAGTTAAAACTTTAAAATATTGTTGTTTCTCTCAATCTCAATGTTTTACGTTGTCTTAATAGTGCAATAAAAACAATATCAACGTTTGTAGGATCTCTGTAGTAAATAATTGGATATAAATATTTACTGTGAGAGAGCTGAATATCTCCGATAAGGAAATAATCTGACAACTCTTTGGTTATAAAAAGGAAATGTTTGTCTTTATTAATGAAGGTTGGTTGAAACATACAGCATTTACAGTGACCATCCCAAATGAAATTGTATGTTATGAAGAAAGAAATTCCTAACAAAAGCTATCAAGAAGTTCCCTTTTTTTCTTTTTTTTGCCCATATTGTTGGGTTTTACTACAAAAGAAGTTGAGGTACCCTTTGAGGATATTGTTAAACAGACGATAGAGCTTAAAATATGCACCATTGTTTGATATTAGGTCTTTATTTCTTTTCCATTTTCGTGACTACAGTTGGAATAATTCTTGTTTCGCTTTCTCTTCTACCGTATATTTGAGTCTACGTTGCTGATTGATGATCAGAATGATTTTCGATCTTGACACGGATATGGTAACGAGAGATTTATATCCACTTTATGGCGACATTTTCATTGTTGGTTCTCTTGAGGATGATGGATGAAGAATAAGTCGTTAATGGCAAACTGAGATGCGTTATGGTAAATAATGATTTCGGAATTTTGCTACTGATTTCAAGTTGTGTATTCGTATGTTTTGTGATCACTTTGTACGAGAGTTGTGGATGTTAAAATTCAATTCGTTCGTATGTTTTGTGATCACTTTGTACGAGAGTTGTGGATGCTAAAATTCAATTCGTTCGTATGTTTTGTGATCACTTTGTACGAGAGTTGTGGATGTTAAAATTCAATTCGTTCGTATGTTTTGTGATCACTTTGTACGAGAGTTGTGGATGTTAAAATTCAATTCGTTTGTATGTTTTGTGATCACTTTGTACGAGAGTTGTGGATGTTAAAATTTTATTAATTTTAGTTCAGAATCTATGGGAACCACGCGAATTTAAACGCGGTAACCATATATAGATAGATATCTTTATTGTTTGGAAGAGGAGTGTACCGGTTGAAGGTCATTCGCGTTATTTATTCATTACGAGGTTAAATTGCTGGTGACCTTATGTTTATTGTTATATGTTTGGATAAAGGAATTTATTTCAAGAAATCGATCTTCTTAATTATTCTAAAACTAATTATTATGTTGGTAATTAAAACATTATTTCGGACAATATTTTCCATTTCATATTCATAGTTTTGTTTTATAACTTTTATTAGGTGTACAGTAAAATATAACCCAGGTTTTAACATTAATATACAGAACACATTACACTGTAAGCAATTAATTAACTTTGACGTTACTTTGAAGAAAATATTTACACTTTCCGAAACTGTTTAGTTATTTGAGATTATTGTGGAGGTTTTATTTACACTGGTTATTCTGCAACATCATGAGTAACGGTTTGGTTTTTTGTTTTGTTTTGTTGTTGAACATACAGCTACACAATGGGCTATCTGTGCTGTGCCCACCATGGTATCAAAATCCGGTTTTTGTGTTATATGAGTAAGGACAGTCTTATAACAAACTGACATTTTAAGGATACACGAGGAAAAATTTTAAACAAATTCAATTAAATTTCTTGCAAAACCAAAAATTTTGTTATCAAAGTGGTGTTTCATGGCATTTATAAAACTAATAAGTGATACACAAATAAAATAATAATAATAGCAACAATGGAGCAAGAGTGGTTAACAGAGGGAAGCCATTTACATTTATCTTCTCCAAAATAAAATACTATCATTTTTACAAGAGTCAAATAAAATTGACCAACAATATCGAACAATTTCAAATAATGATGCGTTTTTTTTTTTCATCAGCAGCCCTTTATATTGTTGCCTAGCGGCTTATTGTTGCCTGGCATTGTTCCCTTATGCTTTAAGTATTCTTAGAATAACTCTACAGCCAGGTGCATCCGCTGAGAAACAGACTCCAGCGCTACTTTAAAACCAATTTAAATGGAAATCGACATTTTTTTTCTCTGTTAACTGCTTGGAAAATAATCTAAAGAATCCCCTTATCATCATCCCAAAACTGTTAGATTCTAAATTTATGGTCAAGTCTGGGGTTTCTGTTTTTACTTCAATTTTTAGATGTTTACAGCAAACCTAACGACCGTAATAACGTCTATGTTTATACTTAGTTTGTTTATTTTGAAAACAGGAATATGGCCAAT